ATGTATATTCAAGAAATACTGAAAAGATACTTGTGGTAATTTGAAAATAAACAGTTTTAAAAAGTGAATTTTTTAAAATGAAATAAAGTTGTGTTAAGACAATAAAAAGTTGTATTTCTTTATTCTGAAATAGCTTGCATGCAGAATGAAATAAAGTTGTGTTAAGACAATAAAAAGTTGTATTTCTTTATTCAGTGTATCTTTCCATTACCCCACATCCCCACACCCCTCCCTCCACACACTCATTCATATACACGTGCACCAAAAACAAAAGAAATATCACACATTCTTCCGAGAAACGCCGAGTGGCTGTACAATGTTCCTTTAACACCCTGACCGTCAACAAGAAACAAAGAAGTATTACTCAAGAGAATAACTTGATAAAAAAAGCGGGAAGCTCAATAAGAGCATTTGCATATTAAGGTGTTAGATTCTTTGAGGCTTGCCTCTTTGTGTTTCAAAAGAAAGAATGTTGTTTATATGAAAAGACTGAGTGACTCTSGAGGGAACGAYCTGACKAAAACATAACACCGCGTGAATGAATACACTTAAAATCTAAAACAACATATTTTCAAAGTGCTAGATTTTTAGGAACCCGTGGCACYTCTYTTGGTTTCTTTTCTCTCCGTACCAATAACAAACATTGCACGGGTTTCAATCATAATCACACAAAAGTGACGTCATATATTTGATTACTTTGGGCGCTGTTCATTTTAGTCACGTGTTATTCCCTCGGGCAGTTGTTTTATTCTACGTTTTAAAAACACTTATTCAAACTGAAATATTTATGCGCATAACTTATCAAAGAAACGATCCGTATTGTTTTGCTTCAAGAAGTAAACTGAAAACGGTCGCGCAAATTAGCGAAGACTAAACAAGAGTTCATACAGTTTCGAAGGCCCTGACAAACGGCCCAACTTTTGACTAATAATTTAGCCAACGTTTCTACAAATATTTTGACCCAACCATGACAAACAATCCCAACCAAATGTTGGCTAAATTTTGGGTTAAATGTTTAGACCGTTGATCATGGATGTYACTCCAAAAAGTGAACTCAAAACAGTCGCGCGCGAAGGGGCAATTAAAGTAACATGAGTTAATAAAGTTAATGTAGTTTAAAGTGTAATGAAAAAATGTTGACGCTGCTTGCGTCTTGAAATCTGAGTCTTTGTTTTCATTGTCTCTGGGTGTATTTTATTCTTGGTCGGGTGTCTCAATGATGAAAGTGATTTTCAACTGTTGTTTTATTTTTTTCGTTTTCTGTTTTGATGGGTGTCCAAGAATAAAGGGACAAAGAGAACACATCAGACAATAAAGGTTCAATGGTCTTTTATTGTAAACTGCTTTATCAAATGAATCATCGAATACAATGAAACTAACTGAACCCCCAAAACGATTTTTTTGTTCGCCAAAAATGAAAAATCGACTAAAAAAACACAAAAATGAGAAATCACGTGACATGTCACGTGACTAATTAACATATTATGGTTTTTAGCCCCAAAAAGGCCTTTTTCTTGGTTTTTATCACCTATAGAGTGCTACGATAGCTTGTTTTACTCAATTTCTAGGTTGTGAGCAAAAAATAATGCTCGAAAACCTTCACATTTTCGTAATTTTCTTGCCTAAAAGTTCATATTTCAGCGGGATCCCTGTGTAAAATGCTAGTATCCAGTCCCTGTGCATGTCACCTCTTCATTTGCCGCATGCTGCTGTTGGTTGTGGATGTGTTTCAACGGGTGCAAATACACGATGGGCTTTTAGGCTGAAATTGTACGAGAACAAAGATGGTTATTAGCTCGTGCTCGACCTAACAGAGAGAAAAGTACACGAGAGCAATGAAAGGTAAGAAGTATTACATTATTTTAGCGTT